CTGCCTTTGGCTCAGGTCATGATCCCAGGGTCCTGGGATTGAGCCCCACATCGGGCTCCCTGCTCAGCGGGAAGCCTGCTTCTCCCTCTCCCACTCGCCCTGCTTGTGGTTCCCTCTCTCGCTGTGTCTCTCTCTGTCAAATAAATAAATAAAATCTTTAAAAAAAAAAAAAGGCTTACTAGTTATTTATACTGTCTTACAACTGTCCTGGTCATTTAACCCCTAGAAGAGAGGAAAACAAAGCCAAGAGTATCAAAATTCTCTTCTACATATAGTTATTCCTTTCTTCTAAAGGATTTGTATACTGAAAAAAATACAAAAATTCTGAAGAAATCTTCTAGATCTAGCTAGCAATGGGAAGGAGAACTTTAATCAGACACCAGGGACAATATCTGTTTGGTGAAGCCACCTTACTGATGAAGTTTCTCCACAGACAGAACCACTGCCCACTACTGTGGTGGGATTACCTAAGCAGAATGTGAAAGACCAGTTTCAACCAAGAAAGCCTCTATGAGAGGAACATGTTGAACAGCACCACCGTGATGCTCTCAGCAAAACCCAGACTGTGACAAAGTACAGAACAGGTAGGCAGAACATTCCAAGGGAGGGGAGGGGTAAGGACAGGGGAACCTACCATTTGCAAATGCCTGGATATTTTATTTTAAGGAATTACTGTTAATTTCTTAGGTGTAATAACGGTATTGTGGTTTATGTTTGTTTTTCAAGATTCTTATAAAAATTATCACTTGTGATTGAGGAGACTTCTGAGGGGCTAGAAATGCCCTGGATCTTGTTCTGGGTGATGGTTACAAAGACATATAGCTTGATAAAAATTCATCAAGCTCTACACTTTCATACTCTCTACTCTATTATACCTCAATTTAAAATTTTATTTAAGAGAGTATTTTTTAGAGATCAAGACTGAAATATCTATAGGTGAAATAATATAGTTACTGGGATTTACTTGAAATAACCAAGGGTGTACTGGAAATTTGCTAAGAGAGTAAATTTCAGATGCTCTCACCACACATACACAAAAAGATAACTATGTGAGAAGATGTACTAATTAGTTTGACTACAGTAATCATTCCACATGTACATATATATCAAATCATCACGATGTACCCCTTAAATATACACAATTTTTATTCTTTTAATATAAATAAAGTAATAGCCTCATTTGGGTCTTCATAAAAAAATAATAATCACGGGCAGAGGGGTGAGGCATGGGGAGAGGCCATATAAATGAAACCAAGATTGGCCACTAATCGATAATTGTTCAAGCTGCATGACAGATACTGAGAATTTGTACTTTTGTGTATGCTTGACGTTTTCCAAATTTTTCAAAGACGCACACACACAGAACATAGAGGCAAGACATTCTGGTAGCAACAAGCACACCCTGCACCCAAATCCTGGTTGTTAAATACCATTCTCCAAAAAGAAGAACCAGGCTCCTTGAAAAAATGACGGATTCTGGGGCTGAAGCACTGAAAAAGCAAGATGATCCTGAAGCATTTTGTCATGCTAGAAAGAAAATGGGGCGTGAAACACATCAAAGGTCTCCAGGAGCCACCTGAAAGAGTTCCAATATGGCCAAGGCTGGAATAATTTGAGGAACAAAATAAATAACACAGAATTGGATTATAACCCAAAGTATAAAATTAATCTACATGAATCCATGCCGATGTAAAGAAATCATTAAATGATTAAATTCACTGGGGGGAAAAGAAACACATCTTTCTTCTAAAAGAATTCCAAATAATGTATGTAGGTACCTCCCCCTGCAGGAGGTATGGCTTCATTTCTGCTTCTACCCTCTCTGAAAGGGTAGACTAGGTTTAGTGACCTGCTTCCAAAGAACAGAAAAAGGAAAAAGGAAAAGGTTGATGCTACAGTGGAGACACGTGATAAATACGATCTCTACCAAGTGATGAAAGTTAACACCATGACTGATGTCACAGGGCTATCATGATCCCTGATAGGATGTGACAAGAAGGGCACTGCACCTCTGTGGTGTTCTTTCAAAAGCCCCAGACCCCCCATCTCATTATCAGTAAAACAACCAGAAAAACCCAAATTGGAAGAGCTTCTACAGGATATCCGGCCAGTACCGCTCCAGGCTTCAAGATGGTGAAACACAAGGAAAGACTAAGACACTGTCACAGACCAGAGGAGACCGGAGAGACAACTAAGCACAGGGTGGTGCCCTGGGTTGGATCCCAGAACAGAAAGAGGACATTAATGGGAAAAAGTGGTGAAATCCAAATAAAGTCTCAAAGTTAGCCCAAAGCTCAATAGTAAAGGAAGAAAAGAGTAAAGAAGGAAGGAGGAAAAGGCAGGCAGGACGGCTGTGAGAGTAGCAGATGAGATGATTCTACGTGGTGGCTGTGAAATCAGTCTGCAGCACTCGTGCCAGCACAGGAGGCTCTGCCCTAGTGCCTCTCAGATCTCAGGCAGCAAACACTGCCCACAGATTTTAGCTACAGAAACGATGGAAGAATCATTCTGGGGAAGAAGGCAGAAAGTTAAATTCTTCATAACAAACTGACCTAGACAATCTGTACCAAAGGCTTAAAAAGGCAAGTGATACCGGTCTCTTTCGTTTTTCAAACAACCATTCGGTTTCTTCCTATGTCTCCCCAATATAGTGCCTAAACTTTCCGCTCTCCCTCACTAAGAAAGAAAATGTAGCATCCTAAATTCAATAAAATTATTTATGATGGGACCATGGGAATGCCAAAAGGGCACCAAACATCATATGGAGTCCCTCCAAAACGGGCCAAGTATACCAGAGGAAGAGTTAAAGCCTCCTACACCCTTTGAGGAGGATCAGTGTAACACTCTTATGCCATCTTTAGATACACACCATACTTTAAATAAAAGGTAATTAATCATGTTCAAGCTTTATGAAAAAAATGTAAATAAGTCCTGATATAATCAAGTACTAAAATTATCAACCTGTCAAAGCTAACAAAATTAAAAGTAAAGATTTAGCAATAGTATGGTCCCTGAATCCTGTTTTTTGAGGCACAGAAAGAATGTGAACTCCAGGGACGCCTGGGTGGCTCAGTCAGTTAAGCAGCTGCCTTCAACTCAGGCCATGATCTCAGGGTCCTGGGATCGAGCCCCACTTCTCTCTCTGCCTCCCCCCGGCCCCGCCCCGCTCATGCCCATGCTCTCTCTCTCAAATAAACAAATAAAATCTTAAAAAAAAAAAAAAGGTATCTGAATTCTGTGCCCTTACCCAACCCAGGAAACAACCTCATGAAAGTGACAAGGCAAATTAGGCCTAGGACCCCAAAAGTGTCTATTCAGAAACAAGAAGGATTGTAACCAATTAGACAATCTGGAAGAAATAGATGCATTCCTATAGAAGTATAAACTACCAGAACTGAACCAGGAAGAAATAGAAAACCTGAACAGACCCATAACCAGTAAAGAAATTGAAGCAATAATCAAAAATCTCCCAAGAGCCCAGGGCCAGATGGCTTCCCAGGGAAATTCTACCAACCATTTAAAGAAGAATTAATACCTATTCTTCTGGAACTGTTCCAAAAAACAGAAATGGAAGGAAAACTTCCAAACTCATTTTATGAAACCAGCATTACCTTGATCCCAAAACCAGACAAAGACCCCATCAGAAAGGAGAATTACAGACTAATATCCCTGATGAACATGGATGCAAAAATTCTCACCAAAATACTAGCCAATAGGATCCAACAGTATAATAAAAGGTTTATTCACCACGACCAAGTGGGATGTATCCCTGGGCTGCAAGGTTAGTTCAACATCCACAAATCAGTCAATGTGATACAATACATTAATAAAAGAGAGAACAAGAACCATATGATCCTCTCAATAGACGCAGAAAAAGCATTTGACAAAGTACAGCATCCTTTCTTGATTAAAACTCTTCAGAATGTAGGGATAGACGGTACATACCTCAATATCATAAAAGCCATCTATGAAAAACCCACAGCGAATATCATACTCAATGGGGAAAAACAGAGCTTTTCCCCTAAGGTCAGGAACACGGCAGGAATGTCCACTATCACTACTGCTGTTCAACACAGTACTAGAAGTCCTAGCCTCAGCAATCAGACAACAAAAAGAAATAAAAGGCATCCAAATTGGCAAAGAAGAAGTGAAACTCACTTTTTGCTGATGATATGATACTTTATGTGGAAAACCCAAAAGACTCCACCCCAAAACTGCTAGAATTCATACAGGAATTCAGTAAAGTGGCAGGATATAAAAT